CCTCATGTCGGCCCTATCACCATCATTGCGACCTACTGCCCCAAGCAAGTCACCATCAGGGACGGGTCGGCAGCAGACCTCCAGAGGGACATCATCAAACTAACTCGACGGCGTGAAAAGTACATCATCGCGGGCGACCTGACCGCCAAACACCAGGCTTGGGGCAACAGTCGACGCAACCAAAACGGCACAATCCTGAACAATGACCTGCAAGAGGCTCGCTACACCATACTAGCGCCGGACTCTCCCACCCGGTTGAGCCGATGTAGGCTCATCCGTCAACCGATTCCAAGCTTGCCGACGCAACTACCATCGCGTCAGCTGAGAGCAGTTCCAACACACTGTGTCGACTTCACTATCGACTACGGTGTCCTTCCGGAGACGCCCAAAGGCGTTGACCGGTGTTTGCGTTCCATCGGGAACGCATGGAACAACACGTTCCAGTATCCAGACAGGTGAGCAAAACTCTGAACCTTGATAGAATTACCAAAAATCTCATCAGACTCCGTAACTCCATCCGAAGGCAATACCAGTGTAATACCAGGCAATCATCTTACAAAAACCATCCAAGCCAGGATGGTGAACCTTAGAAATCAGGATTTTGCTAACAAGATCCGCTCTCTTCCAGGTTGTGCAAAGCCCTTCTGGAAACTAACGAAAATCTTTAAAAATAAGCCAATACCCATTCCACCACTGACAGCACTGGACCGTCCCGGCGACCCAGTGGTTGATCTGATAACTCCTGAAAAGAAGGTTGCCGCGATAGGTCAACACTTCGTTAGCTCCCATAATCTCGGACAAAACATCGTCAGCCCTCACGAAGCTGAGGTTACTGAAAATGCAGCCAATCTTTATTAGATTTCCAAATTTTCTCCCGAGGAATCCGAGATTTCTGCAGACGAACTGTTGGCCTATATCAAATCATGAAGGCCCCAGGTTTCGACAACATCCTGAATCTGGAACTCAAACACTTGACTTCCAGACTCTACAACCATCTGGTACTTATTTTTAATTTGTGCCTCCGGCTTTGCTGCTTCCCCTCGTGCTGGAAGTCAGCTAAAGTCATACCCATCCGGAAACCTGGGAAGGATCCGTCCTCTCCTCCAAGTTATCGACCAATCAGCCTTCTCTCAGGGTTATCAAAACCGTTCGAAAGAGCAGTCTACCACCGGCTCCTAACATCTGCCGAAGAAAACAACTTGTTCTCGAGGAACAGTTTGATTTTCGGAAAGGTCGTTCGACCGTCTACCAGGTGACTTGAGTGACAAACATTCTCAGACGGAACAAGTCTGTTTCGAAAACATCTGCCATGACGTTGTTGGACGTTGAAAAAGCATTCGACAATGTCTGGCACGATGGCCTGGTGTTCGAATTGCACCACTACGGTCTTGCAATCTTCCTAGTGAAGATAATTAACAACTATCTATCGAACATGACGTTCCGAGTCTCTCTGAATGGCATCACATCGGGTGCTTTAAACATCCGTGCTGGGGTTCCACAAGGAAGCAGTTTTGGCCCCTTTATATTCAACCTGTTCACCTCCGATATGCCGGCTCTCCCTGATGGTGGATCGTTGTCTCTGTTCGCGGATGACACATCCATCGTCTACAAGGGTAGGGTGATCGGAGCTCTGACTGCCAAACTTCAGAGAGGCCTGGACGCCTTGTCTGAATAATTCAACAGCAGGAAGATCCGTATCAACGCGGCAAAGACCCAGTTCATTATCTTTCAACACTCTAAATCTCCCAGACTTGTTCCGTCGGTGAATAATAAAATCTGCCTGAACGGCACAGTGTTGGAATGGTCGAAAGAGGTAGTCTACCTCGGCTTAACACTGGACAACAAGCTGATTTTCAGGAAGCACGTTGACCAAATCAAAACCAAGTGTAACATCTTGATAAGATCGTTGCATCTACTCATCAACAGGAGGGCTACCCTGTCCCTGAAAAATAAGCTTGCTATCTACAAACAAATCATCCTTCCCGTAATAGAATACGGGATGCCAATCTGGGAGGATCCAGAATAAGATCCTGAGAATGATCCTCAATAGTCCACCGAAGACTAGAAACTCTGAGGTCCACCGCCTGGCTGGTCTTCAGACACTGGAGTTACGGAGAGCTGAATCCATCGCAAGGTTCAGCGATTACTGTAGGCGATCCGATCAACAGATCATCAGGGATCTGGCATGTTAGGTTAGGTTAAGCTAAGTTAGGTAAAGAAAGTAGAATAACAAATTAAAACATTTATATCAAATATTCTTCACAAGAAGAGAATTGTAAAACATTACAACAGTTAAATACGACATGCACAAACACAAAATCAAAAATTTCTCCAAATATGAAGAGCCCTTCTGGCTAACCTCTTGCCCTGTATTAACAATTGTAAACCACGTAACAAATCATAAATATAGAAGAATTTTACTACTACTAAGTTTGTCTACAGTCATTGTTTGACTGCCGAGTGATAAACGGGGGTGTTCGTTGCGTTGTTCACTGAAATCGAATCTTACTCAGAGAATGAGTCACTTTTACTCATTCGTATGAAGAAACTTTTAAAAGTGTAGGTTGTTTTTCATTGGTGTGAGATGTATGTATTGAGTTGCTAGGAATGCTACGATGTCCACGCTGCAGCGAACAAGTCCGAGGTCGAACTGTCCAAAGTGCAACGTTGAATGATTGTGCGGCTTCGGCTTGAGTGAGCACCTAAGAAAATGTATGGGAAATTTGAATAAATCTATATTTCTTCATTGTTAATTATTTAAATATTTTACAATTATAATGTGTGACAAACCACACAAATGTTATAACACTGGTGAATCGATCGACATACAACTCTTAAAAATCCAATTATTATTGGCCAAGTTATTAGCATGTAAAGTCTGACCAATTCTCGTTGCATTTCCCTGAATTGGCCATCTTTCCGAAAGACGTAGTCCTTGGTCAAAGTGGTCATGGCCGTTTTTTAAACATTTTTAGTTGAGAATGGTGTCAAGTTGTGACCTGATGATCGAAGTGTGCCTTGCTTCGTGAAATTTTCCGGTTATAGAATTGTTCGTCACGTTTATTTAGATTTTTGGCTGGAAGCGCTCTGCCACTTCATAACATTTTTCTAGAGAAGTTCGCGAGTGCATTATATGGCCGAACGAAGGATAATCCCAGTTTAATGTTCAACGGAATTCCGGTCGCTGAAGCTGTGGTTCGGGTTTCCGATGTTTTCGGTTCTCCTTATGATGGTTCGTTGGATGGACAGATGATGCGGGACCACAAGCGATCTATTACCCGTTTTCTGAATGTTTCTGATCCAATTATTAACGTCAATAAATTGGTCCAAATTTAAAGCATAACCATACAAAATATCGAAATATTTTATGGATGCCTTTGGGGTTTATCTAAAATGGCAAAAGCGATTCATTCTGATTTCCCGTTCTGTACTTTAAGATGGCACAGTTAGCACTTCCGTAAGGAAGTAAAGACGAATTCCTTAGTGCTTACAACATTACTTTGCACATTGAAGGTCCTATGTTCTCCATGGTTGGAAATGGTTGCATTGGATGATACCACCGTTTTAATTAAAATATTAAAATGCTCCTAAATTAAGATTTTTGATTTTGTATTTCCATAACATAAATATTTACATATTGATTACTCATTTTCATAATTATTGTCAAAAATATGAGTATCTTAATAAGTAATTGATTTGATTTTTAGGCTGGCAAAAATTGGTTATCATTTTGATCATCTTCATATAACATTTAGATCACATTTTTTAACTGATGACGATTAACTCCAGTTATGTTGTTATGAACGATTACATCAGAATATCAAAATAAGTATTAATCTGCTCGGGAAATTCATCCGCCACCTCAACCTCGTCTCTGTCAATTATCAAACTTCTGCCTATGCGAGTCATATCGTGCTCGATTCCTCTAGCCACTTTGTCTTCAACGTATCCACCTTTAATCCAACCCTTTCTGCTACTGTAAAAACTGTAACAACTGCACAACTGTAAACTGTAAAGCGACTTTTATAAAAACAAAACAGGATGACTAGCGGGCTTGTTGGTGATTTGGACCACTAACCCTGACAGACTCAAATTACGTGGGGTAAATGAGATTTACAATTATTCTTTTTAAAACCTTACAACTTCACAGTTCTCATTAATACACTAGAAAAAAAATCCACATATTGTGTTCATGTGCCATGTGATTTTTTATAATAAGATTACTATCTATCTATCTATCTGACACATAGGGTGGGTGAGCCAGTAGTGGAGATACTAAGCCATTTTATTAATTAAACAATAAATATACGATGTACACACAATTGTTATACGTCAATCTATAGCTTTCAACCTCTATTTTGATAGAAAAATATTACACTGTAATAAAATTGCATACAATTTCAGAAAACTCATCCTCCATTAATAGGAACACTGTTCCAGTAGTTGTGTTAGCTGCTAACTTTGGTTCCTTTAATAGTGGAATGCGTGGTTTTCTTAGGGGTTCCACTATTATAGGAACACTACCGCAACTATAGGTGCAAAGGAGTGAAAATCTCAAGGAAAATTAATGATTTTCCGTTATTTTTGGGCTAACTTTAAGTTTGAAATATGCAAATATGCTTTATTTTAGGACAGCTACCGATGGAGGTTGTACCGGGTCCTCCTCACTATTCCGGCACAACCTCCTTACCGCAACTATAGGTACACCACTATTACTGGAACACCTACCCTATGTTTACACGTGGCATTTAACGTTTGATGATAATTCAACATTTTATTTATGCCGATGATCATTTCGTTTGCAAAATTTCCATCTGCCAAATAACAGATCACATTTTCCTTGAAAATAATTCATCCAACACATTGTCATTCAGAATAAATATCTACACCAATAAATTTCAATTGGATGAAATAACGGAAAACTTTCCCAAGCGTATGCGAACGAACGGACGCAAAAAGTGCATCGAAAATTCGCGGGAAACATGAATTCATTGACTTACCAAACAACGCATCCATTCAGTGTGATTGTCCCCCTGATGTCCCACTACGGCAGCTGTTCCGCTCCACAAAAACAAAAGTACAAAACCACAACGAATTTCAAGCCTACACCACTCGCACAGCTGGCACGATTCTGTGTACTCCAAACTCAAAAAAAAAAAACGAACTAAAAGCTCACCGAGATTTTTTGCCACTCTTCTGTGATGATTTATTTTGCTTCCTCCTCAGATAGAGGTACACACTGTGGAGCTTCCAAGCAGGCAGCAAAAAATAAACTTTGTTGCAATCAATATTTTCCGGGAGGCCTTTTTTCCCCTGCAGCTGCCAATCTGTTTTTTCTTCTTTCGGTAATCGTTTGTATCCTTGATTGCCACACTCTCTCGCTGAAATCTACTCCTCAAACCGGAAACCACCAACAAACAAAGTATCACTTTTTCTCTATCCGAAGGATGCTTCACCAACGCGCTAGCTACTACACTGTACTGACGGGTGAGGGGAGTGGGGGGCTGGTAGACACTTGCACCAGTTCTTACTACGAACTGTACGAAATTAAACCACAGCAGGATGCCTACTTTGCCCTGCTTGTCAGCAGATGGAAACGGGACGATGATCGAAGGGAAAACCGCAGTAGGCCGCACGAACCGAGAACTTCACAGTTTTTATCCTCTAGGAAAATAACATCCTCCCTGATGTGTTGCACTCCGTCTGATACAAGTGTCATTAACTGTATGTGACCGAGGCACAGGATCCAAGTTCCGCGCGATCAAACCAACCGAATCGGGTGAAAAGTCAACGAAGACTGAATGCAAACGGTGCGACTGCAGGAGTTTTTCATGTCCTGGAAAATCCTGCCAAAGAGGGGAGCTTTTTTTCTCTCTCGGAACGAAATGGGAGAGGGAGAGAGAAAGGATCAACTCTCAGTTTTTCCCTTTTCCCCGAAATTGAGCGGAGCGAATGGCGATGCCATTGTATTGGTGCAGTCATTAATTTTGAAGGTTGTGGAAATGCGGTGTCAGCTGATTTTCAATGCGGAAGTGACTACGTGTTGATCAGCTGTTGCCGCGGCGATGGGTGACGGATTTCGGGACTCGGGTTTCGGTGGGTGGGTTAAAGCTCGTTGGTCACTAAAGGTGACGATGCACGCCATGTCCGAAGTGGTGGATTAATCAACTTCGCCTGAAGTTAGCTTGTGTGCTGAAATTTCTGAATCGGTTGGGTTTGAATTATTCTATCGGAGTTTTGGAGATGGTGCATTTTTTACAGCGGGAGGCATACCTACAGGCGTATATTGTCTTTCCAGAGATTTATTTCTCGCGTCACTTTTCAAATAGACCAATGTAACAAATGTAAACAAATCGAGTCAAACGATACAAACTAAGGCTTGTACTCGAAAAAAAATGTACCATTTTTATCCGTGTGTAACTTTTTTATCCGTGGGTAAAAATTTATGAAAATCTGGGTACAACTAGTTTGGAGGGAATTGTTTACATGTGCAAAATTTCATAACAATCGGTTCAGTGGTTATTGAGATGTCATCGAAACAAGAAGAAAATCGCCGGAGAATTTTGCGCGCCGTCATGGAAAATCCGACTGCGACCATGAGATGGATCGGAAGACAACTGGGAATCACCCATACAACTGTGTCTCGGGTGGTAAAAACGTTTAAGGAGTCCCAGACAAGCGAGCGGTGGGCTGGAAGTGGAAGAAAATCGAAGACAGCTGACCCTGTGAAGGCCCGGAAGGTGTTGAATTATTTCAAGCGTAATCCGAACCTTTCGATTCGCGACGCCGCTCTGAAGGCAAAGTGTTCCGCCTGGTTCGCTCAGGAAACCATGAAACAAGCTGAGCTTCGTGAATTCAAGGTCCCGAAGGCCTTATCAACAAAACACGGCGGCCAAATCTCGCGCAAGGAAGCTATATCGAGAGTGGTTAACGAAACCGATGTGTGTGATTATGGATGACGAAACCTACATCAAGGCAGACGCAAAGCAGATACCGGGGCTGGAGTTCTACGTTGCCAAATCACGGTTTGATGTTCCGGAAGACATAAGGAAGAAGAAAGTGGACAAATTCGCCAAAAAATACTTGCTCTGGCAGGCCATATGCCAATGCGGTAAACTGAGTAAACCGTACATCACAATGGGTTTGGCTGGACCTGGCATCATGCCATTACGCACGATCGACGTTGTATTGGTACAGAGACAATAACGTTGTTTTTGTACCAAAAACCGCCAACCCCCCAAATTCACCAGAGATTCGTCCGGTGGAAAGATTTTGAGCCATAATGAAGGCCAAAGTTAGAAAATCGTCCAAGGTGTTTAAGAACGAGCTGGAGTTGAAGAAAGAATGGATGAAAGTGACCAAAAAGGTCGGCTTCATCATTGCACAAAATGTAATGAGGGGTCTTAAGGGAAAGGTGCGGGCTTTCAGCGATGGAAAGGAAATTGAATAAAGTAATTATGCCGAAACATAATCCATATGTATTAGTTCCTTCCCTGAAAGTTTCAAGAAAATCCGACTTAAAATAAATTTTTGGTGAACACTTTTGTCTGGTGCATTTTTTTCGAGTACAGGCCTTATTGCTCTTCTATCATTGTATGTGATACAAAAACATCCATCCAAATTTACTTTCATTTATTTAAGATAATCATAGGTCAAAAATTGTCCAATGTACAGTTTGAAATGATGGGTACATGTTTGTTACTTCGGTCACTCGGACTGCCTAACATGAATGGATTTGACATTTGACACACATTGACATGGATTTTCTAAAGGCGCGGCCAATCTAAAGTTAGGTACTCTACTATGACATCTGTGAAAATAAATCTAGCATCATGTAAAGGGTGATACGGTCAAAATTTGGTCAATATCAACTTGACGTATTTCTTTCAATTTTGCATTTAAAAAACCTGAACACCCCTCATTTTGAAGGTGTGTGTGTGTAGAATGTTGCTCCTATTTTGATTTTGGAATTCACTCTTCAGTTGTCAAAATGCCGTCCAAGCAAGAAGAGCAGCGTATCAAAATTTTGCTCGCGCATCGCGAAAATCCGAGCTACTCGCACGCAAAGTTGGCAAAATCGCTAAAAGTTGCCAAATCAACCGTTACAAATGTAATTAAAGTGTTTGGGGAACGTTTGTCGACAGCCAGGAAATCTGGATCGGGGGGAAATCGAAAACCGGAAGCCGCTGAGACGACAAAGAGAGTTGTCGGTAGTTTCAAGCGAAACCCTAACCTCTCTCTCCGAGATGCCGCAAATAAGCTGGGTGTATCGTCTACAACCGTGCATCGAGCCAAAAAACGAGCCGGACTATCGACTTACAAGAAGGTAGTGACTCCAAATCGCGATGATAAACAAAATACGACGGCCAAAGCGCGATCCCGGAGGCTGTACACGACGATGCTGACGAAGTTTGACTGCGTGGTAATGGACGACGAAACCTACGTCAAAGCCGACTACAAGCAGCTTCCGGGACAGGAGTTTTATACGGCAAAAGGAAGGGGAAAGGTAGCAGATGTTTTCAAGCACATGAAACTGTCAAAGTTCGCAAAGAAATATCTGGTTTGGCAAGCCATCTGTACCTGTGGCTTGAAAAGCAGCATTTCATAGCTTCCGGGACTGTCAACCAAGAAATTTACGTGAAAGAGTGTTTGAATAAACGTCTGCTGCCTTTCCTGAAGAAACACGGTTGTTCCGTACTGTTTTGGCCGGATTTGGCATCTTGCCATTACGGTAAATAGGCCATGGAGTGGTACGCCGCCAACAACGTGCAGGTGGTTCCCAAGGACAAGAACCCTCCCAACACGCCAGAGCTCCGCCCAATTGAGAAATACTGGGCTATTGTCAAGCGGAACCTAAAGAAGACCAAAAAAACTGCTAAGGGCGAGCAGCAGTTCAAGGCAAACTGGCTTTCTGCGGCGAAGAAGGTGGACAAGGTGGCTGTACAAAATCTGATGGCAGGGGTCAAGCGTAAGGCCCGGCAATTCGGATTTGGAAAAGCGGAAGCCTAACTGAATATTTTTCCTGAATTTTATACTAATTGAACTTGAAAAAGAAATTTAATTTGATTTTTTAAATAAACGATTTCACCGATTTACACGCGTTTTCCCTTGACCAAATTTTGACCGTATCACCCTTTAGAACAAATCGTCCAATGTAACACTAATTGATTATGTCCTTGAGCAAAATCATCCAATATGACATGTCCGATGTACAACTTGACTTGTCAAAACGTCCCATGTGGTTTTTCAACATTTTTCATTCTTTTTCAACGTTATTATTCACTGACAAAATTAAAAATAGTATTGGAAAATGTATTGTTTCTAAACAGTTAACAGGGTTACTTCTACTCACTTGCTGTAAAAAATGTTTTTCTGAATTATGAAATCATGAGATGGTATAATGATAATTAGTATTTGTAAGCTACAAGAAGAGATCGTAAAGTACGTGTTTGACACATCAAATCTGTCATTATTGCTTTAAGTGCGTCACAATAATCGTTTTTTCGACTCGTGAGCGCTTACTCTGAGTGAACGCTCACGAATCATAAGATCGCTGATTGTGACGCCCTGAAAGCGAAATTGACAGGTTTTATGAATCAAACACGTACTTTACACCCTCTTCTTGTTACTTACAAGTACAACATATCATTATATCATCTAATGATTGCATAATTCAAAAAAAATATTTTTTTATTGCAAGTAAGTGGATGCAACCCTGAGTTAAAATAACAATCTGTCGAACTTCATCCTCGATTTTCTCAAAATGGTGGATATTGTACATCGGTCTATTTGAAAAGTGACGCAAGATTTCCTGTTTTCGGATAAATTTAAAGAAGAAGGAGAAGTTCCACCGCAGCTGACATATAAACAAAGTCTTGAAAGAATCGCCAGCAAAAACTAAGATGAAGAGGAGACAACTGGCTTCTTTTTGTCTCAGACGAGTTCTTCTTCTCTCGCGGAAACGACCGTGCAAAAACTAGTTCATTATGGGCGATGCAGTCTACTGTCAAAATACAAGGCAATCGAATCCCTGTTGTAATAGTTCTCGCGGTTCTATACGTTCGCCCGACCAATCAGACGCTGGTTCGCGTTTGACAGAAAATTGGTTCATAAAAGTCCCCTATTGTCTCCTCTTCCTCTTAAAGCAAAAATACCTCGAGTTTGTCAATGCACACTATGTTTATTTTCCAGATTTCAGATCAATTTTAAACTGGCAGTAGAACTTTGACAGCTGCGGTAGAACTCTACGGTAGCCGCCGGATGGCATTTTTGCTTAAGATCCGCAATATATAAGCTTATGGGTGTGCGCGGAACACTAGGCCTGTAGTATAAAATTTATAACTTTTTGCACAGAAGTCGAATTGACTTGCGGGAATCTTTGGCATAAAGTTTGATTAAGCGGGGTCGACAAAGGCGCGAGAATCGGTGGCAATTGAACACTACTTCTTTCCGTTAGCAATAGAAAAAGAAAGGCACGGTTCAAAAAAACGATACGAACTAAGATTTATTTCACTCTCCCGGTTATCGTAAGATAGAAGCGGACGACGTGTATGTAGGTACGTTTGGATTGAGGTGTATATTTCGAATGATCTGTCGGTCCAGCACAGAGATCTGATCTCTGCTGGGAGAATCAATATGTGAAAACGGATTAGCAAAAGGTCTTTCCGATCGATCACTGCTTCGATAGCCGAAAGCAGTGATAAGCTTATCTAATCTGTGTTGCTGTATATAATGATCGAATGTGTAGTGTGATACAGAGGACGGAAATTCA